TATATATATATATATATATATATATATATATATATATATATATATATATATGTATATATGTATATGTACTGGAGCCAGTCTTAACAACGTACATCTATTGTAGTGTATATGTATATAGTGGAGCCAGTCGTGTAAAGCAGGGTTTTTATGTGTCGTCTCTTTTACTGTGTAATTGGGGAGAAAGCTAATGTTTTATTTCAAGTGTTTTGTGCTGTTTGGGGTGTATCTGCAGCTGAGAGCCGTGGGTGTTGCGCTTTCTATGAACGGCGGCAACCCATCTGCTCTTTCTGGCGACGACGCTGCAATATTCAAATCTATCCCGCATACATATCAAGAAAAGTTTGTTGAAATATTCAAACCAAGCGGAAGTTTCCCGCAAAAAGCCGCCAGTTTCCCTATTCTGAACTGCCTTGCAGCTATGGTAAGTCGACCTGCAATCTGGGGTGTATGCGCAGCTCTGCTGAAACCGGGTTTCTTAGAGTGCGATCATCGGCATTTCATCTTTTTTTATTGTACAAAAGTTAGGAAACTTCACTGGATTTTGTTTAATACATATTTTTCTGTTTATATATCTCAAGAAACAGAGAAAAGGAGCGCTGATTCCCCTGCATTTTGCTGCTTTCCCTCCGCGTTCAGGTTGGAGATGTGCTGAAACACCGAAAATCCGCCGGCAGTTTCAACGGCAGTTTTGCGCCCATTTGCTTCGATCTGACGGACCAGGTAATATAAATGATAAAAATATTCATAGCAAATAAATAAGTGGTTTTTTTGGAGTATTTTCAGTTCGTTCATGTTTCGGCTGCTTCCTGGCTTGAACCATTGAGATTACGTGCGTCTCTGCATGCAGAGCGGTGTGTGACGCGTGTTGTGTTTTTTAAACGTTTATTCATGCATTCATTGGTTTTTTCGTGCCGGTGCTTGCTGCAGGTTCGGGGCTCCATCCCCTCTGCCTATGACTGCAGCGTCGGCTACACGCTGGGGCTCATGTGCGGCTGTCTCGTGACATCTCCAGCTATGAAGCAGCTGCCGAGCGCAGCGTTGATGATCAGCAACCCCAGCGCCGCCGTTGCTTCGTTCTCTCCTCTTGTAGTGCCTCTCTCCGCTGCAGCCATTGCATGCGGTCTGGGTGTAAAGGGCGCGGGAGCAGCAGAAAGCAGTATTGGGACGGTCGTTGCTTCAGGTGCATTTGACTTGCAGCTGCATACACCCACGCAGGCTGCTGCTGCTGCTGCTCTCAGCAGCACAGTTCAGAAAGAATTCCTACTGAAAGACACATACTTGAACAGCGGGCCCCTTCAGTTCTGTGCTGCAGCAGGAGCAGCAGATGCTGACAGAGTATGCAACTTTCTGCTTAGCGCAAGAAAGTAGATATCGATCGTGCACTGCATGCACGCGCGATACAATGAATGATCAATAGAACTCCTAGTTTCCACTAGCTGCAGCAGCAGCAGCAATACCAGCAGCAGCAGCAGCAGCTGCTGCTGCTGTTGATGATGCTTTAGTAGTTTATTTGTTCTCTGTTTCTAATTCATGAGGCTGTGCTGCTGCTGCAAGGAAACGGCGAGCACCACTGAGGTGTGCGTAGCCCCGAGGAGAAAATAAATAATTTCTTTGTTTATTTAACTTTAAAGAAATTTGAATTTCTCTTCAGTTCGTTTGTTTTTGTTTTTGTTTTTGTTTTGTTTTGTTTTGTTTTATGTAAAACTAAAAAGAAGTTTAGGGGTTAGTTGATCTATTTATCTGTTTACTTATACAACAAAGAAATGTTTATTCATTTGCTATATTTACATTCTACATTAACTACATAATTAAGAAGTTTAGGGGATTAG